AGTGAGTGGGGGGGGGGGAGTACTGTTTTCTAATTCCTTATCTGATGTGCTCTTCCCATCCAAACAGCAGACAAATACTGCCAAGCACATCCCCAACTGTATGTCCCCTGTATTAACATCATTCCTGTTTTTAAAAGCAGTGTCTCCCTTTATTGGGCAGACCCGATCTCCAGAGACGCAAGGCTTACCAGAAGCTGGTCATTAACAATGTGACGTATTGGAACTTCAGTTCTTCTTTGAGGAGGAGGAAGTGATCAGGGGAACAAGGCACCCATATGCTAGGTTGTCGTACAATAGGAAATGGTGTTTATGCACAGACTTTGTTTCAGTACAGTAAACCGTCTACACTATTAAGCTTGTTTTCCAGTTCCTTTTATTGCTGAAATCACAGTATGTATTATTCCCATTCATAAGGGTATATCTAGCAGTGATTTCTGCCTTTTATGGACAGGATGAGAATCGTTGTCTTTTCACACCCCTTGTAAAACAAGCTGAATCTGGTGAGGCAGCAACCTGTTGATGAAGGCTAGAGAGGACTGTTATGTAAACATCTCAGCCACAAAGGATCACCAAGTAAACTGGCAAGTTTCCATTATCTTGAAACAGCAGGAGGGAAAAGCTTAGAGTTTAAAAACTGGGGCATAAGATTATGCCCCAGAGTTTGATGGTGTTGATTTCTTTGCACTACAGAGGACAAGTCTTTTTAAGCGTATACAGCTTCATTTTTGCCTGCAACAAAGAATCTAATGTGTTTTGCATCTAAGTGTCAGCCCTCCCAGATAAACCAGACAGGAAACACAACCAGATGAGCTACTTCTACTTTACTGATAGGCTACATTGAAGGTACAAATCTCCTGCTGTCCCTATTTACCACCTGATCAGTTAGGGTGGGTCCTTTCTAAGTTTCTTTCTCTGCCCGTTACTCAGCTGTGGGCTCCTCCCCCTTTTATCTGACCATTCCCTAGGCAGCATCTCTTTACCCCATCTTCCAAGGTCATTCTTACATTCCATTACACTAAGAGTCTTCCACTAAATAAGCTGTTGGACTATGGGAAAAGAGACAAGAACTTTTCAGACAGAGACACACTGTTGTCCAAATTTATTGTTACAGTGCTTTTCAAGGAAATAATTTGTGCTTATCTTTATTATATACAGTGGTCTTAGCTTAACAAGAGAGAGAGATTTCCGTACAGAGCCTTTTAGTTTCTTAACTCTCTTATTTGCTCTCTCCCTTATTCACACAGGTGTTTATTATCACACCCTTGATAATAGTTGCTCCCTTAGATAGCTTCTTTAAGTATTCTCCCTTCTGGGCTTCCTTTTAGCCTAAAGGGAAAGAGAGGAGAAGGGGGGAAAAGTATTCCTGAGCCTTTTGGAAAGTCAGCATGTTGGTCAAGCTTCCCCAGCTCGCTCTTTCCAAATACCACAGTCTTTTCCATCAGCGAGTCCACTCTGTGGACCCCCCCCCATTTTTTTTTATCTTGTTTGCTTCTGCTGGGTCATCAGCTGCAGATTTCTCCTTTCTCCAAGTATCCTTTCTCCAATGATTCCTTGATATACCCAGTACTTCCAGTCCACCTAGCAGAAACACAACACCAACAACTTCCTCCATCGCCTAACAGATCTGCCCTTTCATATATTTTCACCCTGAAGGCAGATGTGCCTGCTCACAGGTATTTTAATTAGGCAAGAAGCTTCTGGGTATATACATGACTTTTTGTATAGAGTTGGCAAATAGATACAAGTGTGGCAAATTGGTCCCAAGGTAGAAATTTCTTGTCTATCAGGACAGCTCACTTGCCACATAAACCTACTCCATATGGGGATATATATCTAGAGAGCCAGAATTTACTGCTAAGTTCTGTTGTGAAGCCTAATGCTCAGTAGGACTAATTTTGAAAGCTGTACAAGCTTGTATCTGTACCTCAGTAAAGTCTGTCGATGGTGTTGTCTCAATTAACGGGGAAGTCTTTTGAAGTTGTAGCTGCCTCAAATCTATAGTAACTGACTTTCAAGGTAGTATTCCCTGTAGTAGTAACTTCTGTTCTGAGAGCATCTGCACTATAAGTTCTGAGCTGTAAGCTTTATATAGACAAAGTATCAATGCAAACTGAACTTTTCTCCAAAAATGGCTAGGGATTTTCTTCTGAATGACCTGCCTAATTTCTCCTCCTTTCTGTCACGAGTTGGAACGTTCTTTATGCAAATTGGCTGCCCAGTGAGCTGTAGCCTTTATATCACATTAATTAAGCTTTCCAGATGTACATCATCTTTTTGTACACTTTGATGGATCAAAAAGGAAAGCCTACCTCCATCTCAGTGTTTCTTGGGTTAGGCTGGAACACTATTTATGTATGTTATCAGTTACACATTTGCCTCTGTTGAAATAAGTGAAGCATATTCTTTCAACATCAGCAGGTTTTTCTAAAGGTCTATCTTACCTGATCTCTATAGATCAGTATCTTCATCCCCATGCTCTTTCACATTACTGGCTTGAAATCGGAGCAAAACACATGTGTGGTTTGGCACGGCAATGTTGTCATCAGTTTTAGTCTAGCAAGGACCACTACTCACCCAGAGTTTCATTCAGCAAGATTACATTGAAGAAGAACAGGTTGTTGACCTGTAACTGTCATTCTTCAAAAGGTCATCTGAATTCACACGATCTGCCTTCCTTCTCCTCTTTAGATGCCTGTTTTGGTGGCTATTCTTAGTTCTAGGATTGCTGTCGTAGATGTCGGTGCAGGCTTAGAACCTTTATCTGTGAATGCACAGATGACCAGTGAAAGAATGATAGTTACAGGTAAATAGCCTGTCCTTACTGTCATTATATACAGCTTATTGTTACATTTTAAACATAGTAAGAATTTGATAGCCTTGAGGTGGAATTGAAGAGTTATGTCACTTGCCATATAAAATGAAGAGCTTGCATCTGCAATCATTACTGCATAATAACGAAAGTAGTTTATAAAACTTTTCTTGTTGCATAGTATAGTCTTATATATTGATGTCCTCAAAACATTTTGATAACCTTTAAGGAATAATCTCATACATCTTAGGCTGACTCAGACATTAAATGAAACAGCTAGTGCATTCTTGCTGTGGTGATGCCACTTCTGATTAAAGAAGTAATATGATTGTTTATTTCCCAATGTCAAAATTTTCCATCTGTAAAAAAAAACAAAAAACAAGTACATCAGAGATATTTACTCACTGTCTTCTCTTTTTCCACATTCAAGAGGATCATTACGGGGGCTGAACCGTATTTTTAAACATGTATATTATTTCTTGTATCTTTTATGTTATGCACATATTACTTGTGTGCACAGAATTCTTCCACCAGTCACATAATTGATATGGATTAAGTCAAGGAAAATTCAGGTCTATTTTCTGCTTATAAGCCTGGTGTGCCTTAGATAAAGTGGTGCTTGTTACCATGTTCATTCACTTTGATATTCCTACTGGGCTCTTAATACCACTACAAAGTTCTGCAAAACATATTATTAAAGTTCCTGAATCAAGACAAATTTCACAATAACATGGGGTAAAGATTATTATGTAAAACAACTCATTTAATTACCAGTTAAGCCTAGGAATAATCAAATAAATGATCTGAGATTTCTTTTTTTATAGGAGAGTATTGGATTGATCCTAACCAAGGATGTTCCGGGGACTCTTTCAAAGTATACTGTAACTTCACAGCTGGCGGGGAAACTTGCATCTATCCAGATAAGAAATCAGAGGGAGTAAGTACCAAAACAGTATTTGTTGCAAATAGTTCCTGCTTGAATCAAGATCATGGCTAAAACAAACAAACAAGCAAAAAGTACTATCCCTTTTTTGCAAACAAACCTTTTTTTACAAGATAATTCCAGTATCGTTTTTACAAAATTGAATCAAAGGAAGATCTGAACCTTCCTCAAATGCTTATTGTCTTGTGGATGATAGCTTGTACTTGTTACTAGTGCCATTTTTTTCATGACCATGATAGTTTTGCAGCTATTTTTTTTTAAAAAAATTATTAATATTTTTTAAAAGAAAAAAGAGCAAACACGCAAGCAAAAAAAGAAAAGGAAAAGGAAACAATGAATTGGTACCGAAATATATACATGGACAAAAGAATTCCCAGGATTATACAGTTAGTGTTCAGAACATTTTTTACTAGAAAAAACATTAAATTACATTTAAATATATTAAATTATTTTAACAATGAAAACAAGAATACAGTTAGTGTTCAGAACATTTTTTACTAGAAAAAACATTAAATTACATTTAAATATATTAAATTATTTTAACAATGAAAACAAGAATACAGTTAGTGTTCAGAACATTTTTTACTAGAAAAAACATTAAATTACATTTAAATATATTAAATTATTTTAACAATGAAAACAAGAATCTAAATCCCTGAGCTGACTGCCAAAGTCTCCATTGTTAGTTCATTATGCAGCTATTTTTAATTTTGTATTAGCACTTGGTATGAGTTTTGGAAGAAGAAAATATTTTGTAAAGTTCTTTTTCTTATGTTTTCATACCTTTCTTACCAAGTACCTTTCTTATCTGACTTGATTAACTATGCTTTTTCAAAAAAGCAACCACATAAATGTATATATTTAAACCTTATTTTTCTTAAAAGAAACATTGAAATGTATTTCCATACTTTGTTGAACCAAGAATTATGTCAGGTAAAAATCTAAATTCTGATCTGCACATTTGTCTAGGAAATCTGCACATTTGCCCATTTATCTGGTATTAGCATTTATGGAAATGAGATTATACTTTTTGGATTGTTGATCATCATGGTGAGGTATTGTCCAGCCATAATGCATTTCTTTGAAGCAAGTAACTAGACTTAGATAGCTCTTTGATCTGCTCCAGCATGGATTCTCTTCTGTTTTGAACATACTATCAGATACCAAATAATCAAATCAAACGTAACGGCATCTCAGAGTGCATTAGACTTAGAACAGGGTATAAATCCTGTCAAATAAGTAAAAGCAGCTATTAGCATTCACAAACAAGGAGCAAATTTATAAGTCCTAAGAACTTGCAGAAAGTCCCCCTTTCAGACACTGAATATGCTGATACCTGTAATCTCTTTCTCTCTCCTAGTTGTTAATGGTCCATTCCTCTGCCTCACAAGAAGATACAACTGACAGTTAGAATACCAAAATCCTAGTATTTGAAGGGAGCAAAATACCATCTGGGCTAAATCTATGCCAAAGACTGCATGCAGAATCCCTACCCATGGATCTGCCTGAACAATCCAATTAATGTATTTAGTTATTTAATATGTTATCTGAGAACCTGATATAATTTTCTCTGTACAACTCTAAATATAATTAGAACTAGGCACACAGCCCAGGCTTTTTTCTTTCTTTTTTTTCTTTTTTCATTTTTTAAAAGATATTAATTTAGCAGTGTTTATGTAAATCTCAGCTAATTCCCACTCATTTCTTGCTGATATAATTAACACTCATGATTTCTTTCCTCCCTCACAGTTTAGAATTTCATCGTGGCCAAAGGAAAATCCAGGAACCTGGTTTAGTGAATTTAAGAGAGGCAAATTGGTAAATTACCCTTTCTTTTTTACATTAGAATTAGTATGCAACCTAAGTGCACAAATCCAGTAAAGTTATCCGGAAACAAGCTTTGCTTTTTACAAGACACAATGTGTTGCATATAGTAGTGGCATTTGCTTGGATTTCAGTGTGGAGAGCTTGAGCACAAAGATATTCTAGGCATCATGCATCTTCAGGTGCAGAAATAGGCCTGTTATTTTCTCTTGATTCTGAATACTAAAGTAGAGCAAAATATATACAGGAAACACTCTGGGAATATGTAAGTGGATTTTTTTTTTTTTTACTTTTTTCTTTCTTGCATTTAGTATTTACTTACCACTGATTTTTAGCTTTTGTCAAGGGCTTGGGGCAGATAAGAGATCTTCAGGCTTGGGTTTTAGATCAGGAGCAAGCAAATATTTTCTAGTCAAGTTGTTATAGTCCCCAAGGAGTTATCCATTGGGGGCATGTAGCAAGTGAAACTAAAGCAAGTAGTGGGTGGGATCATAAGAAAAAATGAGCATCAACACCTATCTCCTTCCTTCCTTCCTCCCTCCCTCCCTCCCTCCCTTGCTGTGAGGAGAGGACAGAAAATTCAGAAATGATCTCTTGCAGAGGGCCAGGTGAAGTTATGCAAAGAACCACATATTGTTACCCTTACTTTACAGAATACATTACACATTAGAGGGATAAATCCTGAGAATTCTTCTTTCTGCCTCTCAAAAACATTTTGCATGACAGCTAAAATGTCCAAAGCATGTTACCTTTTTCCATGCACTAAGATTTCAAAGGACTCACATTTAGACTAGAAATGAATAAAACTTCCTGTTTCTAGTCCAGCTGATTTTCCATTGGGTACAGTGAATCCACTGCCTCAGGCAGAAGATATCTACGCCTAAAGATATCAGGAAAGAGAGGCAAATTGTTATTTAATTAGTTGTTATTGTATTTTTATGGGTGGGAATATATGCTTGTGGGATTTTCATGTATCAAAATAATTTGGTTGCCTTTGGATACTATATACCTTCGCATGAGTAGCAAAGGAGGTACCATTTGCTGCTCAACTTCAGGCAGCTTGTGTCCATGCCAGTACCATATGTTTTTGGTCTTAATCTGTACCATCCAATTTCTGCAACAGTCTGCAGTTGGGGTTTTTTTAAAATCTATCTATCTAATTAATTTTTGATAGTCAGTTTTTCCTAACCTATGAATCTTTATCTAAGCAAAAAGTAATAGTGACCAAGTTAGAAAAGTGAATGTCTGAATCTAAAGGATAATTGTGTTCAAAGTCTGTAAAATATGGCTCAAGAAAGAATTCTACCCCATCCCTCATTTAAATCTTCATCATGAACATACATATTAAAATGGCCTCACCCCTTGAAAACTCTCTTCTTTTTTTTTTTCTTTTGAAAACCTTCCCAAATGTTTCAATTTGTAGGTGAAAATTACATTGCTATTGTGACCTGAGGAAATATATATTTTATTATCAGACTTAAGTATGTCACTGTAAAGCCTGGATCCAAAGTAACTCTGGACCCACTGTGGCTGTTTTTCAAGTGCCATGATAAATGAAAACATGGTTCCTTCTGTCCTATGCTGGAACCTTTAATATAACATCCTGAAATTAATTATACAGCTGACTACTTTTGAGCTCTTCTTTAGTGATACTTACTTCACCATAACTAGATTGAATTCTGAACTCTGGCTCATGCCATATATAGTGCTGGTAGCTACTTGATTTGCCTACCATGTACTCAGAGAGTTATCTAGAGCAGAGATTCTGTTCCTACAGTGCAGAAATGGGTAAGTACACTTCCATCCGTTACGTTCATTAAGTAATGGATGATGTAAGGCTCTTCCTGTGCTTAGAAAACCTAATTATTATCTTTATTATAAAGTATAAGTTTTATTCATATATCTGCATATGCCTGCATAGACCTTCTGCTTCATGATATTTCAATAGAGGAAAGCATGTGACTGGTCTTCTTCATGTGGGAAAGCAGATAACTCAAGCAAGCAACAGAGTTAACTAAGAATTTAAACTGTGTCCTTGGAAGTATGTTGTTTGCACAAGGTTATCACATATTGTTTGTAATGGTTTTCAGCTTCTAATAATAATAGGCAGACTCAATGCATAATCATATAGCTTTGCATAAAGAAAATATCTTTATTGATTCATTGCCTAACTGCGTTCTTAATGGGACAACAAACAGGCTTATGTCAGCTGATTTATAAGAGGCCAGTTAATGTCTTTTGCTGTTGCATATTATCTTGTTTTGCACTTTGAAGAACAAGTTTATATATACCTGTTTATGAACTTGCCTTTTTTGTTTTTTTAACCTCCTTAGCTTTCTTATGTGGATGCTGAAGGCAATTCTATCAACATGGTCCAAATGACATTCCTTAAACTACTGAGTGCCTCTGCTCGACAAAACTTCACTTACAACTGTCATCAGTCAGTAGCATGGTATGATGTCTCTTCTGACAGCTATGACAAAGCATTGAGGTTCTTAGGGTCAAACGATGAAGAAATGTCTTATGACAACAATCCTTACATCAAAGTGCTTCATGATGGCTGTGCAGTAAGTATAAGCCTTGGACATTTTTTCTTGCTTTCGTAGGGAAGGTGAGCTTAGTATTCAAATGACTTCAGTTTAATGCCTCTCTTACACACATCTGTTTCTTTCTAAGCATATTCTTTCATTTTTGTACCTTGTTCTTCACAGTATCAGTCTATTTAAAAAATAACCCTGTAGAAGAGGGGAAAAAAAGTAATCCATAATGTGAGGCAAATGAAAGACAAAAACTATCAGACAATGTACTCCTCTAAATGTGTTGACAAGGGAAGCCACTAGAGGAAAAAGTAGAGATTGGAGATAGCAAATGGAAAACATTTGTACTTCCTAATGTACTGCAAAAGAAAAAAAAAATGAATAACAATAATCTTGCAAATGAAATATCCCTTTGCACACTTTAATATAACTTGTGTCTAAAACAGATAATAGAAGTAAAAGCAGTGCCAAACTGTCTTATTTAAAAATAAAACAAGTTTTCTATCTTCATTTCTGATGAGCTACTGTTTGAATTGGCACTGGAATCTGATAGTGATAGAATGATATTAAAGAAAGAATGTCTTAGAAGTTTCACAAATACTGAAGCGTTACTCATGTAATCTTGACAATCTCCATTGTATTACACAGTTTCATTTCTGTCTTGGAACTGCTTCTTTGACATCCAAATATTGAATTAGGATATGTAGTGAGAAATGTAAGGTAGGAAAAGGCAGACGCACAGGTACAAAATAGGTGGTACCTAGTATAGCACTAATACTTGTGAGAAGGTTCTGGGCATCCTGTAGACCACAGATTAAGCAAAAGCCAACAGGGTGCTATAGCTACCAAAAGAGGCAATGCATTCTTGGACTGAATCACCAGAGGTTTGGGTTGAGATCACCAGAAGTGATAGTTCCACACTGTGCTGCACTGGTCAAATTACACCTAGAATACTGTCTCCAGTTCTAGTCCCTGCAACACAAGAAGGATGAGAAAGTGGGAAAGAGTACAAGGAAGAGCAAGAAATATGGTGAGGGGCTTGGAGTTTAAATCCTATGAAGAACTGTTAAAGGAACTAGGTATGTTTAGTCTAAAGAAGAGAAGGCAGGGAACCTTAGCAGTATTCAAATGCTTGAAGGTCTGTGGCAGGGAAAAGGGTATGGATTTATTCTCCACCATACCCAAGGGGATAGGAGAAGACCTAATGAATGGAAGTTTTATAGAGGGAGTTCCAAGCTCAGACTAAAGAGCACTTTTCTGGCTGTGAGAGCTATTAAGCAGTGGAACAGCCTGTCTCCTGGAGTCATGGGTGCTCCATCACAGGAGATTTTCAAGCAAAAATTAGTCAGCCATGAGAGCCATTTGTCTGGGATGGTATGAGGATTCCTGCCCTGAGTAGGAGTTCGACTAGAAGATCTCCAAGGTCCTTCCAACTCCATGATTTTGTCATTCTATAATTCTGTGAATTAATTTCCATTTAAATGAGCCATGGTCCTTTTCCCTTACTTTTGCCCCAACCACCCTTAACCATCTTTTTCCTTATCCAACACACTTCCTTTTCTCTTATTGGCAAAAATAGCCAGATATGAAGCAAAGTCCTTCCTTCCCTGTTCCTCAAAGCTAGTTCAGAGTTAGACAACACGTTGTTCCTTACATGATGATTTTTGACACATTATCTAACCCTCATTACTAGTCTGACAAGTGAACCAGCAATGATAAATACAGATAATTATATTCACCTGGATTGTTCTCTGAAGTACCTTGTGGAGTTGCTATATTTTGGAAACTAAATCCAGTCAAGATGCAAACTGCCATTTCAATTTAAATGCATAAGAAATAGTCAATAGCTTCCCCAACTATTTATTAAGTGGATTTCTGAGACCTCTGAAATTCATATCTGCTTTTTCAAATTCAATTGTCGCTATATTCTTGGTCTTGTTTTTCATCAAGAATTATTTCCTAAAGAACCTCGTTGACTATGCTACCACCTCCTTAGACAAAGATAGACAATCTAAGACCATTCTGATCTTTACTGCATCAACCAATATATTAATTGAAATCTGTTATGTTTTTTTTTTACAGTCAAGAAAAGGCTACGCAAAGACTGTTATTGAAATCAGTACTCCCAAAATTGGCCAAGTGCCTATCTTTGATGTGATGATTAATGACTTTGGTGATCAAAATCAGAAGTTTGGATTTGAAGTGGGTTCAGTCTGTTTCCTTGGTTAAGTTTAGAGCAAAGAGAAAATCTACAAGAAGAAAAATGTACTAGGTGTCACCATACCAATTCACTTGTGTCATGTGCAAGTTTTAAGTAAGAATGGAATAGATAACATGTTTCACCAAATATGTATGTCTTCTTTAGAAAAACCCACTGCCCTTTTTGGAGCAGAATCACATGACTTAAATTTATTTGGCAAATGATGAATGATCCTGTATCAGAGACAGGCAAGTTCATGTTACGAATGTCCTCTACCAGCTTATCCTTCTTCACCCACCTATGTTCCCTTTTATTTTTTGGTGCTGTAAAATTGAATGGTGCTCCCTTTTTACAACGTAAGAGGTGCTAAGAAGATATGTTTAATAAATTGTAATTATTCTGTGTACAGTACAGTGCTGTCCTGTGTCTGTTTCTAAAACTTGCATGCATCCCTGAATTGCAACTGGCTGTTACCTTATACTAATCTCAAAATTACATTTCAGTACTGTGTATGTATTATGAAAAATAAAGCTGTAATTTCCAATGAAGTCCCACTCCATATTTTTCTGATTAATATTATTATAATATACCCTCTTTGTATATATTGATCTCTAGAGTTATGTTATTTGAAGTCAGTGACAAAACCTCAGGTGGCAAAACTAGAAGCAAAGGAGTAGCACAATTTTCTGCTTGTACTACCTTGCAATAACGAATTCCAAGAAGGATTGGAAGGGCCAGTTGAGATACTCCCCCATGATGCCATACCTCATTTCAAGACATAAATTGCATTTTGGTGGTGCTGATTTTTCATGTTGGAATCGGAAATGTGTCTTGGCAAAATAAATGTGCAAAAGATGTGAAGGAAAGTCCCTTCTGAGGTAACCCTGTAGCTATAGCACAAGTTCTTCCTACTGTATTCTCACAATGTTGGGAGTTATGGGCCAAATGGAAGGATAACATTGCTGTGGTTCATTCTACAATAAAAGTCTTGCCTTCCCCCCAGACTGGAGCAATGCTGATATTTAGAAAAGGAGCAGCATGGATACCATGTCTGTGGCTGCATCTTCAATATTACCAGAGCTGAGGGACGAAGTTTATCCATTTCTGTCTGCCAAATCTTTTATAGAAGGTCAGAAGGGGCCCTTGAGTATAATAAATTAATTTCAGTAATATAATTAATTAGTCTATAATTAATGACTAATTGAAACTCACTGATTATTTTTTTTCAGATGGATATGAAAACTAGATTCTGCACAATTATTTATGAACTGTGCTACTCCAGTGATCTTTCCGGAATGTTTGCTAGGTAGATCTAAATTATATATGAGCAGTACCTGTATTTGACACACTAACTTCTAGTTTTTATTCTGTCTATTCTGTCAGTGTCATTGTTTACTTCTGTAACTTCAGGGCAAAGACTCTTGCCCCTATTCAGGAGATTTTTTTCCCCCTTGGGCATCTCCTGATGCCCAAGAAAAGAAAGAAAAAAAGAATAGAGCTTTCAGTTTTAAAGTATGTCTAGCATTGCCATTTATTGTATCAAATGTGTAACTACATGTCTACCAGAATTCTGAATGTGCAAATGTTAGTGCATATCAGTGTTTCTCCATTGGTCACGTTAAAGATATTGGTAGATCAGATGAAGGTATTTATGTCCTGGCCACTTGGCTAACTAAAGCAAGTGCCACGTCGCAGATGATGAATATAGTCAGTTCAGCAGGGCCTCAAATGTAACTCCCTCAGATGCTGGATTTATATCGCTGGAATCTATTTGCTCTCCCAGCACAGAAGATACAAGAGTGTAAACTTAAATCTGCTCAGGTAGCCTTCTTGCTGAATTGTGGCAAATAAGTCTAGGTCATGTGATTCTACCTAGTTGCCAAGCAACCTATGAGGAAATTGCTATCTATGAAGCTTATTTTTTGACTCAAGCAGTTACAATTTGCAATCTTATTTTTTCCTGGCCTCAAGGAATTTTGTTTTTCTGGGTGCTCAAACATAGACATTAACTTAACACAGATCCTTTTGTACTTATTTCTCATAATATATGTAAGACTTGAAAAATATTTGTTACTATTTCTTATATAAATCTGTTTAAATTAATTGATACCAGATTCCACTAGCTCATTTTCAGCTGTTTTTAAGCATGCAAACATTTTATATGTAAAAGAGATTTCAAAGTCAACATTTTACTGTTTGGAATTCCTCTTCTAAAACCAAAGTTTGTTAACTGTCACCTCAAAGACAAAATAATATACATTTTATTAATAAAATCGATTCCTGTCTCCATGGACTGATCATTCTGTTTCTTAATCCTACAGGAAGTGCTGTATAATTTTCAGTAACACAATTATATTCTGGCTGTAGATAATCCATCACATAAACCATGGAATACAGATCAAAGCCTCTCGTAAATATTCAGGTCAAAATCCTCATAAATGGAGGGGGGCATGCTAAATCAATTTTGATTTCCCAAATGTCACCTTCAGAAGGGATTGTTATTTATTGTTGATGAAGTTGGCTAATGTGGGACTTCCCGTCTTTAGCCAGTTGTCATTTGTGAAGTCATTTTTACGTAAAATGTAAAAACGTGTACATATCAAATGACACTAAATTTGCATAATGGATGTAATGGACAGAAGGAATAACCTTGAGGAACAGGTGGAAGAGCCACAACCAATACAACAGTCAGATAAAAGAAATCTGAGTCCAGGGCAGAAATGTAATTTGAGAAAGCATCTCAGACATTACTCTCCCTAGTTCTTAGGGAGATAAAGGAGGGGGGGTGCATTCAGACTTTCAAGATTTGTTACTATAATCTTATAATAAAAGTAGTAGTAGCTTGTGTGTCTTTGGTTTCCAAGTGTGGTCTACCTTGGCCGGCTGACATCAATCTTGCAAGTCTGAATGCGCTTCTCCTCTTCCTCCCTTTAACTTCATGAGAACTAGGGAGGGTCATGTCTGAGATGCTTTCTCAAGTTATGTTTCTACCCCAGACTCAGATTTTTTTTTTTTTAATCTGACTGCTGTTTTGGTTGTGGCTTTTCCTTCTGTTCCTTAATGTTATTCTTCCTTTCCATTACAATGGAATTCACTTGCAAGTTTAAAATCAATATTATGAAAAGCAGTACAGTGATCTTTCATTGCAATGGCTATCAATTTATGGAAGCAACCCCAGAGCCATGTATTTTTCTAGGCCAGTCAGAGCCCTTGAGTTAGAAGTTCTCCAAGGCACAGAGGCAAATGATGACTTAACTTCTCATTTAGGTCAACGGAGGGACAGTTACCTTAATATAAGAAGATGGGATACTGAAGACTAGTCATTTTCCAAACTTCCTTGAGAGTAGAGGCTCGTTCACTGGAGCACAAAATTATTTGCCCGCACATGCACTCTTTCATGTAGAAGCTTACTTCAGCAGTCTCTTCCATGCAATTCTAACTGTATGGAAAAGAAACTGCAACACTCTGTTGTGGAAAAACCTGGGAAGGGAAACTTGCTGCATGTCTGTTTGGAAGCCTGATTGTGTTGGGGTTCACTGCCCAGGATATGGATACAAACGTCAGGAGGATTCTGGTTGCTGGCACATCTTATTAAAAGGCATAAGCTTCTGTGAGCTGCAGCTCACTTCATCAGATGCATAGAATGCAGTTTAGCCACTCTGCATCTGATGAAGTGAACTGCAGCTCACAAAAGCTTATGCCTTTCAGCAAAATGTGCTGGAAAAGGTTCTACCAAACACTACCAAAGACTAGCATGGCTCTCCTCCTACAATGCCACCATTTACCCTCCATCCATACCAGATACGGATGGTAGACTATAGCCACTAGGAAATGGGCAGCCTGCTGTTGTCCACTTGATTAGAACTGCACTGAGGGTAGTCGTGGGGGAATCTCTATAGACCTTTATGCATGGAGACAGGTTGTGCTATTAACTTCATTGAAAGCAGGAAGATGAGGTGTACCTAAATATAACTATAGCAATTTGGAAATGTGGCTCAACTGTGTGTGATATGAGCTGTGGTGAGGAGATCAGGCATATTCATGCCATGAAAATGACAAAGTTCATTTACGGTGTCTTACTAGTTGGTAATTATTATGTAGTTATTTGTTAGACTTATATGCTGCCTTTCCTCTAGGAATACATAGCACTACTTCCTACAATTTTTCTCACAGCAACTGTAAGAAGTAGGATGGGCTGAGAGAAACTCTTCCACTCATCCAATGAACTCTCTTGCCTGGCAGTGTTAACATCTGGTATTACCTTCTTGCACTGAAGTCATCTTCTTAAACTGAAGAGGTCATGAAAACGTGAGCAGACGGTAACAAGCTAAGAGAACTAGTCATAAACAGCACTGCATCTGCTAATGTCTGCCTGACTTTGGGGAGAAAAAAGTGATTTTAACCAATTTAAAGAATGCAAATAACTTCATAGCTGCTTTTACACAACACGCTTACCAAATTAATCCATTTTCTGATTCAACATTGATCCCTAAACAGTAACAGTGGGGTTGGGTTTGCACAAAACACTTAGCACAAAACCTTACCAAGATGTGAATGCATTTGTTTTTATCTGCCTTATTGTGTAAACCCAACCTGTTGATCAACTTCAGGTATCACTGAATAGTTGCTGAAAGTTTAGATGTTTAAAATGGACCATCCTTAACTGGGCTGAGTGTGCTATCAATAAACTACTGCCAATATCACAGCAGTTGTGACACACTACTGACTCACCACTGCTGGTACCCATTGTCATGACCATTCAACCACACTATCCTGAGTGGAGCTGATCTGGTCTCACACACACACACACACACACACAAATATATGTGCCACTATGTTTCTGAAAGCATGACGGAGTCATTGGCAACGTTGATGACTAGCAATGGGTGGAACAACAACATCCCAATGGCATGGTGGAATCTGGCACTAACATTGCCCAAACCAAACTAGAAGAAATTTCATAATTACTATCCATTGCCTATCAAATTTTGCAGTGATCTAGGGCTATCAGATCTAGGTTGCAAAATACAAATGACCGCTAGATGGTAGCAAGGACATACAAAAACTCTTTACTACCATCTCAAGGTTATCTAGATTCATGCACTCTAACCCTACTGAAGTTGTTTATAGTGGAACTCAGTTGCATGAAGCTTTTTCTCATAGACAAATTAATTAAACATTAAATTTATGTTTCAGGCTCTGATGAAAATCAAGCAATTATTTTGAAAAAGAATAATATATAATAAAACTAGAAAATAAGGGATGAGTTTAGCATGCTGGCTGGATACCAGTGCTAATATTAGCTACATTTTGGCAAATGCATTGCATCTAAACCCATGTCAGTTGAATTGTGCTGTTTGCCAGAAAGTGAAAATGGCAATTAAGAAGAGGCATGCATTTTCCTCCATGAGCAGAATTGTTATTCTTGTTGAGAGAAGCTGACTTTATT